CACAAGGCGACACATCTGGCATCACACACACACACACAAGGTGACACATCTGGCATCACACACACACACACACACACACAAGGTGACACATCTGGCATCACACACACACACACACAAGGCGACACATCTGGCATCACACACACACACACACAAGGCGACACATCTGGCATCACACACACACACACACACACAAGGTGACACATCTGGCATCACACACACACACACACACACACAAGGTGACACATCTGGCATCACACACACACACAAGGCGACATATCTGGCATCACACACACACACACACAAGGTGACACATCTGACATCACACACACACACAAGGTGACACATCTGGCATCACACACACACACCACACACACACGCACACACGCACACACACACCACACATACACACCACATATACACACCACACACACACACACGCACAGACCACACACACAAGGCGACACATCTGGCATCACACACACACACCACACACACGCGCACACACACACACGCACAGACCACACACACAATGCGACACATCTGGCATCACACACACACACACAAGGCGACACATTTGGCATCACACACACACACACACAAGATGACACATCTGGCATCACACACACACACACACACAAGGCGACACATCTGGCATCATCACACACACACACACACACACACACACACACAAGGTGACACATCTGGCATCATACACACACACAAGGTGACACATCTGGCATCACACACACACACACAAGGCGACACATCTGACATCACACACACACACACACAAGGTGACACATCTGGCATCACACACACACCACACACACGCGCACACACACACACCACACACACATGCACAGACCACACACACAAGGCGACACTTCTGGCATCACACACACAAGGCGACACATCTGGCATCACACACACACACACACACAAGGCGACACATCTGGCATCACACACACACACACACACACACAAGGCGACACATCTGGCATCACACACACACACACACACACACAAGGTGACACATCTGGCCAGTCAACTCACGTTTAGGCGACCCTTGCTCTATCTGTAAGCTGCAACTGGACGTTACGGAGACTTCCGGCGCAATAGGGAGGACTAGGCATGGCAGAATGTTTAGTTTGAAAGTTTATTTCTGTGCTTGTGCATTGGCTGCGTGCGCATGTGTCTGGACTGTGCTGGGACTCATTGTTTGTTTACCAGTGTTTTGTTTTCTAATGCGACAGGGAGAGACATTTCATTTGATTTTCACTGGCATAGGAACGAAGCAAGAATGCGGTGACTCGATTGCAGTGAAGCTGAAACCCTGACTAAGACAAAGAGCTGAATGGAAAGCGACAGAGTCCACCCCGGAGTATGAGAGTTGAAAGCTGGGGCGAGCGCTTAGGTGCCCCTCTTCCTCCCTCCTCCATCGTGTGTAGGGGGCAAAAGAACTGCTGGAGAACATGTTCTAGGAAAAGGGGGTGGGGTGGGGGCTAAGTGATCATCCTTAATCACATTTAGACGCACTCGTTCCTTTTTGTTCTTGAAGTATCTGCTTGTGCATGTCCTGTTGGAAGCCGCTGTAGTGGAGCAGTTAGACTCTCATCTCTGGGCCCGAAGATCGTGGGTTCAGGTCCTCTCAGAACCGGATATTTATTTTCAAAAATGACTTTGGCTCTGAGGTCGAGCCAGCCTTAAATAGGTACCAGATAAAGTGCTAGGAAGCAAAGGCGGCCGGCGTGATGTTGACCGCATCACCTACAGAATGTCGATTGGTCTATAAAATAAAGGACTAGCCCTATATGCAAAATACGCCTAAAAGCTCGTGAAAGGACCATTTTTTTCCTTAATCATCATCATAAACCATTTCTGCTGTTAAGCGACATGGGGAGGAATAATTTGCGGCTGTCACTGGCTATTGTCATGCCGTGAAAGCGAATAGTGTCTTTAATGTTGTCGATCCAGTTTTCCGCAGCCATCCTCTTGCTCTTGTAGCTGATCTTTTGAGAAGTAGTGCTTGTGATTGTATTTCATCTTGCTGAATTCTAACGAGATGGCCAAACCACTTGATCTGCTGTATCTCTATGAATCTAGTACAAGGTGTTGTTCCCACAATTTGCCTGATAGTTTCATTATTCCCTCGATCTCGTATGGTTAGGTTGGCTGCTTTTTTCAGGCATCTCATCTCGCAGGTGGTGATTTTGAGTTGTTGGGCTTTAGACAGTTTTTATGTCTGACACTGGTAGCTTAATGAATGGAATGAGTTGAAATAAATATGCTGTTTATAACCTGTCTCTTTGCACTCATAGTTATGCTTGGATGGTTTGATTGATTGATTTGATTCAAGAACCGACATCACTCGGGCATTCCCATGAGCGCTCCGTCCCCATCTTCAGCAGTCAGCGAAGAGTTCCGATACTAACGGTGTCAGTAGCATTCTGATTAAACGTCCGTCTTGCATTTCCTCTGAGCCTCGATCATCTGCCAGAACCTCTCGTCACTTCCCCCTGCATCAATCTCACCAAACTGTGGTGATCCATCTGCTCCTCCAAACTGTACACGCTCTCCCACAAGGCACTAACCACGTCTGCCCTATCGTGTATCAGTATTCCACCAAGTTGTGCAGAGCCAGCCAGTCTGTCCGCCTGTTCATTTCCCTGTTAATAATGGTGACAATTGGTATATAAGTGCACTTGATTTCTAACATCTGGTTTCCGTTTCTCTATCAATTCTACCATTTGTGATCATACTTCCTAGATATTTAAATTCTCTAACTTGATTCAGAGCAGAACCATTCAATTGTATGTTTAGTGGGCTAGGGGTTTTACTAACTTGCATTGTTTCGGTTTTGTTTTATTGATTATGTTGTAATTATTGCATGCTGAGTTTAACCTGTAAATTTGGTCTTGCAGTCTGTCTTCTTCAGGGTCGACTGGTGGGAGAACTAACTGCATTTGTGCCAGGGATTAAACCCTGCCCTTTGTGTAGACTGGTGGGGGAATTTGCCGCACTTGTGCCAGGGATCGAACCCTGCCCTCTGTGTAGACAGACAGGGCCACTAATTACTTGGTTACCGTGGCTCGATATTTATCTGTCTTTGCTGCTCACATCTGAAAGTGGTGTCTACAGGTCAAAGTTGATTAAAGAGCAACAGATAATATGGTTTTGTCATCTGACGCTAATACCTTGATACAAACTGCCAAAAAGATTCACAACGAAGAAACAGAATTAACACAGAGCAAGGGGTGGGGGGGGGGGGAGGGGGTGGGGGTGGCAAAACAGAAGATAGCGATATCAAGAACATTTTTGAAGAATGAAGGCAAACTTATACAACACATTATACAAAAGGCACAGGGGATCCTCCCATCTCTTCTATTCCCTCCCTCCCACCCCCACCTTTTCCACCTCTGGCCCCTCACCTCCTACCCCCCACTAACACTTAGATGAGGTTACTGGGGGAGGGGGTGTGGGGAGGAGAGCAATAACGGGAGAACGGGCTGGGATTTAGCCTCAGAATGTAAAGCCGCGTGGTTAGCCACAAACTGTGCAGGATATTGTATTTTTATTTTAACGTGTTTCCTTACTAAGGATTGAAACCCTAGTCTTTCGTTAACGAGCCCAGCATTCTGAATATCTGGCCGAAAAAGAAAAGAAAAAAAACTGGATTTAATGTAGAGAACGGATGCCAGCCCCCACAACACGAAAACCCACTAATGTGTTTATACAGAAGTCATGTCGATCTAACTTGTTTGCAACAATGCCTTCCATTGTAATTGTGTTTTGTCCATTCAGTCGTAGAGATCTGGCTTGAAATGTCCCAGTCAGCGTTTCTGGCAGGTCGTATGGGGAATGTGATTGCCGCGGCTTTGTCGACATGTGCTAGTTTTACATAACCTTTGTGTCTGTGAGTGCTTGTGCAAGTCTATCCTTCTGTCTATCTCCAAGAACGCCGCTCGTCGGTCAGTCTGTAATCTGGTTCTTCACAATCGCGTAACCGAGTATTTCTCTGTGAGTGCCTCCTTATACCTACCAAACTGTTGATAAGCAAATAGATAGCTAGGTAGACAAGTTGATATCTGCGAGTACCTAATTATGTCTGCCAATCTGTTGATAAAGAGAGATATAGACATACAGAAATTTATCTATCCTAAAATCTGCGAGTACCTCATTATGTCTGTCAATGTCTGCTGTTGATAGACAGATCGATAGAACTAATGAACAAACTTTATTTCCAAAGGGTTGCAAACTCGACATGCCGCCGCTTTCAAGCATTTATCTATCAGACGGAAATTATATTTTATATATCAAGCATATGATATTCACATCAAAATTCATATAAATGAATGTCAATGAAAATGTGAAGGGATGGATGACCAATGCTCATCTTCAGATATACATGCCAACAGTACACACATCACAGACACTCACAACATCCTTACACACAGAGGCACACACATTGATGACATACACACAATCACATATAAAACACATACACACAGATACAGATGAGCATACACAAACAGACACAACGCTCACTGGGACACACACTCACAGACAGACCATATACTCACAGACAGACAGACAGACAGACAGACAGACAGACAGACAGACAGACAGACAGACAGACAGACAGACAGACAGACAGACAGACAGACAGACAGACAGACAGACAGACAGACAGACAGACAGACAGACAGACAGACAGACAGACAGACAGGTATAGATCATGGTATTAGCCTGTACATGATTATGTCTGTCAATCTGTTGACTGACAGATCCGACTTTGAAACACAAGTGTTGGCACAAGTGTAGGCACAAGTGTAGGCACAAGTGTAAGCACAAGTGTAAGCACAAGTGTAAGCTCAAGTGTAAGCTCAAGTGTAGGCACAAGTGTAGGCACAAGTGTAAGCACAAGTGTAGGCACAAGTGTAGGCACAAGTGTAAGCAGCCCATTCCTGGACTGGTTTCTATATTTGACATGTTTCTGCCAGATTGGTTCAAGGCGGTTCAAGGACTGATGGCGTGTTCTGTGGTTACAAGTCTCATCGCCCTCATCGTCGGCCTGTTCTCCTTGTGTTGCTACTGCAAGAACTGTAACCCTCATCAAGCAACGGTGGCATTTGTAGGCCTCACTTGTAAGTGATTGTGTTTGATGGTATATGAATGGAAGAATGTTTGAGAGGAGCAAGGCCAAAAGGGCTTGACCAACGAGTCCAAATCTTAACACTATAAAAAAAAAGTTTGTTCATACCTAGAGCAGTGCTCACACCTGCATGTGATTTGTGATCATACACAGTACAGTATGAACACATATCAAGTACAAAATGAATCTCTATTACAGTAGTGAATTAACCCATATCACACTACTACTCTATCACAATACTGTATGAATCCCTATTTCAAGTTAACCTCTCTCACAGTACTATATGGACCGCTATAATAGAAACCTTTATCTCAATACTATTTAATAAGATGCTATTTTAATCTTTATCACAGTACTATATGCACTATGTGAACCTCTATCACATTACTATATGAACCTCTATCACAATACTATCTGAACCTCTGTCATAGCATTATGTATAAATAATTAACATTATGAAGATATTTACCCAGCCTTTCTCTTCCCTACAGTTCTCCTTGTTGCTGCTGCTGTTTGTCTGTTTGGAGCCAAGGGTCATCAAGTATATGATCTGAACGTCTTCCAGTCAGAGGATCCCTACATCCCTCGACCCATCTTCAGCTGGAGTTTCTGGGTTGCTGTTGGAGCTGCGGTGCTGGCATTCATCTCAAGCTTGTTCTTTTGTTGTGTTGGTGAAACAAATGATGACGAATATGTTTAGTAGTTTTTCTCTTTAGAGAAAGATACGTATCTTTCTATTTTTATATTTCTGTGTGATTGCTTTGTTTGCCTGTGTCTGGCTGTGATAAATCTGCTCTGAGTGTTTTCCATTTCTCGCATACAGAGAGCCTAATATTCAAATCGGATGCCTTTCTTCTGTATCTCCTGCATTTATTCTATTTGACAATATCAGCAATTTTCCAAACACATTAAAAAAAATAAATTTATGCCTTACATTCAAAGAGACACACACTGGGTTGCAAGGTGACTTCCAGTCAAAATGGACGCTAGTCAAGGTCACTGTTTTGAGTCGTGGCAAATGTTTTGCTTCTGCAAGACGGTGGCCATTGCATTTTTGCTTCATTTGTTAACTGAAAGGATAGTTTCGTTGCCCAGCTTCTGAGTTGAGTGCATTGCATAACACTGTGAGTTGCAGATTTCATTTGGAATGTTTTTTTCGACTGTGACCAATGTGGTGGTGTGAATTGTAGATTCAGGAAATGGCAGTGATGCCTGTTGTCGCAATATTGGTGGTGCCATTAAGTGATTAACATTTATCGCGTGTGCAGCTGCTGATCTGTTGGTGATTTCTGCTACCATCGATGATAAATTGCATTTCTAATGTTGGACTGTTTGTGTTCACACTTCGAATGGCTACTGCATGCTTTTAATGAGTGTGAAGGCTAGTGCATATGTCTGGTAGGTCACACTTTCCACAAGGAACTGTGATAAACATTCTGCGTGTTTTCGTTGGCACAGGAGCGGAGCAACTATGGGGTGACACGTTTGCTATGAAGCTGAAACTAAGATTACCAAGGTGAGTTGAGTAACGTTTAGGTCAGAACTGACATCACAGCACTCAGGACAATCTAATAAGTGCACATTCTCCTCTTCAGCAGCCAGCAGAGCGTCAGTTCCAATGGTGTCAGTAGTGGTCTGACTGTACATTTGTCTTGTCTTTCCTTTGAGTGTCAAGTGTCAGATCCCACACTGTCATGATCTATTTGTTCAAGAATGCTGTTCCCCATGTTCCAGCATGTGATCCTGTTGGTAACAGATTATGAACTTGGAATGCTTACCAAATCAAAGAGTCAGCTGATGAAACTTGAACACTTACATAATGAACCCAAGCGAGATACCTGGGTAGTAAGTTTCAGATATTTACTGGCACTACAGGCTATTGCTGAAAGACTCAGTCTTTTGCAAGCAAAGTCATATCTCAGAGTAGTTGCAGACAAGAAGCACCTCCTGCATGAAGCCCTGGGTAGAGCTAAGGGTCACAGACTAAAAAAGAGGAAAGTCTTGGACGGTGCAGACTGAAGATACAATGAAGACTTGATAAATGTGGGCGAGGAGAGGGGTGGGTCAATGTGTTTCGCAAAAATCAGAGTAGTGGATCAATGTGTTTACGCAAGAATCAGAGTGGTGGGTCAATGTGTTTACGCGAGAATCAGAGTAGTGGATCAAAGTGTGAGATTGAGAATCAGACTTGAGTGTGATTCTAATCACTTGAGGTCGTGAGTGAAGGGACTGGCCAGCTGGTGCTGCAGGATCAGATTTGAGGTCGTGAGTGAAGGGACTGGGCCAGCTGGTGCTGCAGGATCAGACTTGAGGTCGTGAGTGAAGGGACTGGGCCAGCTGGTGCTGCAGGATCAGATTTGAGGTCGTGAGTGAAGGGACTGGGCCAGCTGGTGCTGCAGGATCAGACTTGTGTGTGATTCTAATCACTTGAGGTCGTGAGTGAAGGGACTGGGCCAGCTGGTGCTGCAGGATCAAACTTGAGGTCGTGAGTGAAGGGACTGGGCCAGCTGGTGCTGCAGGATCAGACTTGAGGTCGTGAGTGAAGGGACTGGGCCAGCTGGTGCTGCAGGATCAGACTTGTGTGTGATTCTAATCACTTGAGGTCGTGAGTGAAGGGACTGGGCCAGCTGGTGCTGCAGGATCAGACTTGTGTGTGATTCTAATCACTTGAGGTCGTGAGTGAAGGGACTGGGCCAGCTGGTGCTGCAGGATCAGACTTGAGGTCGTGAGTGAAGGGACTGGGCCAGCTGGTGCTGCAGGATCAGACTTGTGTGTGATTCTAATCACTTGAGGTCGTGAGTGAAGGGACTGGGCCAGCTGGTGCTGCAGGATCAGACTTGTGTGTGATTCTAATCACTTGAGGTCGTGAGTGAAGGGACTGGTCAGCTGGTGCTGCAGAATCAGAAGTTCAACAAATGATGCACAACATGTCCTGCACAGATAATGTGATTATCTATACATCTGGCTGGTCATGCATCACTGATCTGTTTGTTGGCTAGCTTCTAAAGGCTCAGACCACATCTGGCTGGTCATGCATCACTGATCTGTTTGTTGGCTAGCTTCTAAAGGCTCAGACCACATCTGGCTGATCATACATCACTGGTCTGTTTGTTGGCTAGCTTCTAAAGGCTCAGACCACATCTGGCTGATCATACATCACTGGTCTGTTTGTTGGCTAGCTTCTAAAGGCTCAGACCACATCTGGCTGGTCATGCATCACTGATCTGTTTGTTGGCTAACTTCTAAAGGCTCAGACCACATCTGGCTGGTCATGCATCACTGATCTGTTTGTTGGCTAGCTTCTAAAGAGCTCGGACCACATCTGGCTGGTCATGCATCACTGATCTGTTTGTTGGCTAGCTTCTAAAGAGCTCGGACCACATCTGGCTGGTCATGCATCACTGATCTGTTGGTTGGCTAGCTTCTAAAGGCTCGGACCACATCTGGCTGGTCATGCATCACTGATCTGTTGGTTGGCTAGCTTCTAAAGAGCTCGGACCACATCTGGCTGGTCATGCATCACTGATCTGTTGGTTGGCTAGCTTCTAAAGAGCTCGGACCACATCTGGCTGGTCATGCATCACTGATCTGTTTGTTGGCTAGCTTCTAAAGAGCTCGGACCACATCTGGCTGGTCATGCATCACTGATCTGTTGGTTGGCTAGCTTCTAAAGGCTCGGACCACATCTGGCTGGTCATGCATCACTGATCTGTTGGTTGGCTAGCTTCTAAAGGCTCGGACCACATCTGGCTGGTCATGCATCACTGATCTGTTGGTTGGCTAGCTTCTAAAGAGCTCGGACCACATCTGGCTGGTCATGCATCACTGATCTGTTGGTTGGCTAGCTTCTAAAGGCTCGGACCACATCTGGCTGGTCATGCATCACTGATCTGTTGGTTGGCTAGCTTCTAAAGAGCTCGGACCACATCTGGCTGGTCATGCATCACTGATCTGTTGGTTGGCTAGCTTTTAAAGAGCTCGGACCACATCTGGCTGGTCATGCATCACTGATCTGTTGGTTGGCTAGCTTCTAAAGAGCTCGGACCACATCTGGCTGGTCATGCATCACTGATCTGTTGGTTGGCTAGCTTCTAAAGAGCTCGGACCACATCTGGCTGGTCATGCATCACTGATCTGTTTGTTGGCTAGCTTCTAAAGAGCTCAGACCACATCTGGCTGGTCATGCATCACTGGTCTGTTTGTTGGCTAGCTTCTAAAGGCTCAGACCACATCTGGCTGATCATACATCACTGGTCTGTTTGTTGGCTAGCTTCTAAAGAGCTCGGACCACATCTGGCTGGTCATGCATCACCGGTTTGTGACCCTTGGAAAATAAATAAAGTACCTACATGTCATTATCTAGTGATGCAGAACAAGCCAACCTATCTGCCTATTGATTTCTCAACACAACCGCATAGCCCAGGAGAAAATATCCAAAAGTGCTAACTACTCAGGACCTCTGAAGCAATGCTTGCCACTCTGCATGGAGCATTGTTTACAAACATGTATTTGGGAGGTCCACATGACTAGCGGTTTGCTTCATGCTGCAAAGGTTGTGGGTTCACTTCAGGTTTGTTTACTTTATTCTTGAGTAAAATTTAAAAACAAAATCTTTGTAGATAGCTATTGGAGCTACAGAACTTGTGCTTTGTGTGATACTCTTTTGAGAGACAGACTGAGCCTTATGGGATAAAACCCAGTGCAATGAAGTCAGCCTATGCAATTTTGCTGGCTCTTGAATAAGTACGATATGCCTTAAATATATATTTATATCTCAAGAAACATATAACTATATGCCTTAAACATGTATTTCTAATCAATCAAAAGTTCCTGTGAGCCTGATGTACAATATTAAGCATAAGTGTCAGTGTAAAATATTGTGTCAGTGTAGAATGTTGTGTCAGTGTACAAAGTTATATGTCAGTGTGAGATGTTAAACTGTAGAGACAGCTTGAAAACAGAGTGGCAGAACACATCTCTAAATGGCTCTACACACAAGTGATCAGCCAAGGAGAACCTAATTCTTTGATAGGATGTCATGTGCTAGCCTCAGAACTCATAGCTGATAAAGAGTGTGCTTGCAAGATTATTTACCACACATTGAATAGACGTTTGCTCAAAGTGTTTTAGGCTGTATCAATAAAACTGTCCTCTCCTGTTTATGTAAACAGAAAGATCATGTGATCAATTTGAAGTTACCATTGTGATTAGGTGACTAATTTTGATTTTCCGGCGGATAGATGTTAAACAACTCGATAATGGGGTTTATGCATTTTAGCAAGAAAAGGATTTATTTTTTGCTTCACTATATGTTAATTTAACTCTGTAGTAACGCAACTGACGAGATAAAGCGAAATATGCCAAACAATAAATTGTGCGATGTATTTGTTTGTGTCCACATAATTTCAATAATTTCTGTTTTCATTCTCATTTCCTTTCTGATGTGCCAATCCATGCAACATGACCAATGGCATTTTGTTCCTACTAGTCAAACTCAATACCTGCAGCAATCATATTCCACTTGTACACCTCTTTATATTTTAGGTAGAGGTTGACCGCCAAGACTTGGCAAGTGCCCCGCTGATCATTGCCCGTTTCATTATACTAATGGTCATTCTATGCTGGGGCTCAGAATTCTGGCCCCTGATGACCTTTGTTTTCAAAATTGTGGCCCTTGAATATACAGTGGAATAGCCCTGC